TGCTGCCGGGATAACCCCGGGTGGAACTGTGAGGACCCCGGCCTCAATTTGAATGATTTTGTAATGAAATGGTGATGATGTTTAAAAAAAAAAAAAAAGAAAAAAAAAGGGGAGGAGTGGGACCCCAGAAAATGTCACTTCTCCCCAAAAAGAAGAGTAGTCGGATCAGTCCCTATCTGTGCTCATCACACAGGAGCCAGCTATCCATCAGGTGCGTGATTCGGCGAGGCCCTTTTTCCATAGTTTTTATTTTTTCACAATGAACTTGGACCAGCGCGGGAAGGAGAGGGCGGTGAGGGAGACCGAGAGCGCGCTGTATGACCTTTCGCTCCCGGCAGCAGAATTGACCCAAACCGGACAGAACATTACGAGAGTCGTGCGGCGTGCATGTCCGTTGTCCGCGTGTAAAGCGATCTGATTGCGTGGAGATTTCTTCGTTATTGCTATCGGTGTTCCATGGAGGCAGGCGCCGATCATCTCGCCTCATTCCGGATCAAGAAGAGCGGGACTTTTGGAACCCATTTCATCGCATCCACCTGAAAGTTTTTTCACTACCGTTCTCCGGAACGGGCGCGTTTCCGGAACCCGCCTCTTCGGACGCGAATGGAGTAGGAACATAAGGGCAGCATTGGACAGGGAGTTCCGATGGTCTGTGGTAGCTGGCATGCGGTGCCAGGCATTGAACTTGGTTGGCCAACCGAAAGTGAGGATGTGTAGCGCTGTGGACTTCCAATCTCGAATTCCTTTCTCCTGTTTCGTTTTTTTCGTTTTTTTTTTTCCCGTTCCCGTGTTTCCTGCTTCCTCCGTTTTCTTCTCATCTCGTCTTCCGTCCCTTCATCATCATCCTTTGTGGCGCTCGACAAGGCGATCCGTTGCTGCGGTGATTTTTATGACATAGGCCCATAGGGACAAGTAAGGCGAGGGGCGGAGTGAGGGAGGTTCGTCAAAGTCGCCAATTTAGAAAATAGACTTGGAGTGAGGTGAGAGGTCTCTGTTAGCTCCCGTCCTGGTTGGTTGAGAAGTAAAGGAGTTTCTTTGGAGTCGCAAAAATCCTCGGAGTCGGGAGAATTCTTGTTCTTCTTCTCTCCCCCGCCTCCCTGAAAATACCACTTTCATTAACTTTTTTAAAACATAGAAAAATTCTCTCTTAAGATGGAGGACGACCTGTGTATCGGAATCGATTTCGGTGCATCGAATCTTCGTGCGGCGGTCTACATCCAGAAGGCAGGGGAGTGCTTCCCCATTCCGAATGACTTTTTGAGGACATGGACTCCGTCCGTGGTCGCGTGTGGAGAAGACGACTGTCTCGTCGGGGAGTACGCGAAGAGCCACAACCGGGACCAACAAGCCGGGGGCATGGAGGTGTTCTTCGAGGTCAAGCGGGCGATTGGAGGGACGTCGGCGGATGCGTTTGGTGAAAAGGACGGTAAGCCCAAGGGGCTCCCGTTCAAGAAAACGATGTCGGGGTTCCGGGCAAACATCCCGAAAATGATGAAAAGCGTTTCAGTTGAAGATCTGTTGTCACTGCTGCTGGCAAGGATCAAAAGGGACGCAGAGAGTTTTCTCTCTCGTCCTGTGAAACGCGATGTGAAACGCGCAGTCATCGCGGTTCCGGGACACTTCACAGCGCCGCAGGCAAATGCTATCTCCTCGGCTGCGAAGCGTGCTGGACTGGACATTCGTCTTGTGCATGAACTTCAGGCGGCAGCTAGAGCTTTCTGCTTCGACAACAGAGGACGATCGACAGCCGCACACACGGGAATTGTGATGCTGTTTGACCTCGGGGACTCACACCTGGATATTGCCCGGGCCGACATCCAAGCGTCGAGAGTGGTAGCGTTCTCTCACGTCATAAGGGACAAGGCGACGGGAGGGAGAGTATTTGACGAAATCATCAGGTCGCGTATGTATGATTCGCGGCCGCGTGGTAGTGCGGAGGTTAGTAGTGCTCCCAGTCGATGGCGAGTGAAGAGAGACTGTGTGGAAGTCAAGGAGAAGGTGTGTTCGGACAAGCTGTCTTCCAAAGATGAAGCCTATCTTCCGGCGAGGGTAACACCCCTCGATCATGGGGGGCAAGAGGTGCCCACCCCTAGGTCGTCGGACTTCTACAGTTTGATCGATAGCGCGGTTAAGGGGTGGAAGAAGGGCTTGGATACGCCACTCTCTAAAATCAGGAGTCCTCAAGGACCTGCGATTATGATTCTTCTCGCTCTTGGTCGCTCTTGTAAGATTCCATCGGTTCGAACCATGCTGGACAAATTTGGTAGCAAGTTTAATTGCCCTGTAAAGTATTTGGGTGATGACACCATCGCTCGCGGTGCAGCGATGATGTGGGATGAAGCCTTAGTTCCCGCTGGGGCCATGGCCATGGCGGAGGAGAGGTCTCTTGGCTCGACTTCTGGCAGGGATCAGAGCGTGCCGCTATTGGGTCGGCAGCCCGAGACGAGTCATGACCCATCGGGAGACCTCTGCGGATGCTGGACCCAGTTGAACGGGGGTGCGAGTTCTGGACACCCGCCCTACCCCCCAGGAGGCATTTCATACTCGATGACTGCCAGCAGCGTGCCAGAGGGGCACGCTTACGGGCCAGGGGGGAGCTATGTCACGGGGTACGGCGGTGGGACGCAGTACAGGGCCCCTGTCAACGCGAATAGGCAGCAATGGTCCCAAGGAGGGGGGGGAGCAAGCTCTCAAGGGCAGCAGTTCTCGGGCTCGACCGGGGGAATAGGACCTGCAGAGATTAGCAATTCGGGATACAATGCATATCCGGCGGCGGCTACCGCAGCCAATGGACAGCAGCTGAGTTGCCAGAGTACACACTATGAAGCCCTCCTCCTCTTGAGTAATTGGAGTACGATGAGATTTTACTTGGAAGCCATGAAAACCGTTTTCGGCGAAGATGTCATCTACTCTCTCCATGATGGCACACCGGCGGGCCAGAGGATTTTCCAGATGGAAAAAAAGACTACGACTAAGTTCAGCGTAGACGATTATGAGCAGGCGAAGGAAGATTTCAAGAGGCTACTGTGGGAAGGCGATTTAGGGAAGTCTCGTCGACCGTTTCTGCTGGTGGAATGCTGGGATAGCGAAAGTGGGTTCGAGAGTTTGAGCAACCTTGAGAAGGGCATGACCTGTTTTAGAGGCGCATTTGACGCGGGGCTCTGCGAGTTCGTGGTAGCGCCACATTTGTTGTATCTGTCAGAGGCAATTGACGTAATGAAGGCTGCGGAGCGCTCATCACAAACCGTGTCCAAGTTTCGTCTTTGCGCCCAGAATTTCAAGGTCCCTGCAGGCGAAAGCTCAGGGAGTGAAAATGCTGCAACTCGTACAGTAAGTGGGAAGAAGGACAGAGCCTCTTGTTCGGCGGTAGTGCAGAATCAGGCTTCGGCGGCGAAGGAGGAGGCGGTAGAAGAGAAGGACGGTGACGAGCAGCATCTGCATACCAACTGGTTAACTGGCAATGGGTTCGAGTATGTAATTGCGGGGAAAAGACATAGACGAGTTTTCGAGAGCGCGGAGGAAGTCGGAGGGATGGTGCGCGACGCGCTGCTGAAGGATCTGAAGGTGATAGCCTGTATCGTTGATACAAATGGCTTACAGGATTGTAGGGAGCAGTTGCAAGGGATTAGAGATAAGGTGGACAGTGAAGAAAGCTGGCAGAATATAGTTATAGCTTACGAGCCAGTCTGGCCACAGGAATGGCTGAGTCGGCAGCAGCAGTTCTCGCCGCTCTCTCGTATGCAGCTGATGGTCTCTTTCATCCGACACTGGCTGGCCACGGAAGTGTCGTTACTGACTGCCCATAGCACTCGGATTGTCTACGCCGGTCCTCTTGTCAAGGATATAGATGTCCAAAGTCTCGAAACCGTCCAATTTCTTGATGGCCTGCTGTTACAAGGAGCTTCCGTGGCGCACTTGTCCCAAACGACCAATCTTGTTGATTGGATTAAGAGGCGTGTGTCAAGTACCTCAGCGGGACCTCGACTTCCGATGCAACGGAGGAGCGGCCAGAGTACCGGGCATGAGTATCCAATACCGCGTTCTGGCGTGGACGCTCCGAGGAGCCCGAGGTGCCCGACAAGCGAGAACATGTTACCAGCGCAGCGCAACCGCAGCACAGGCGTTGAGGCGCACAGATCCTATCAGGGCCCGATTGAAGTGCAGCGATCGACTCCGATACCAATAGGTCCAGCGGTCGACGACACGATAAGGGGTGAGGTTCCTCCCGCGGGATCCTATCTGACCTGGCAGTCAGGACGTGACTCGAATGGCGGACCTGGCAACGACAAATTCGCGATGAAGCCGCCCGCCAACGTTCGCAAATCTCACGGCACATGCGAAGATGCTCCGCGTCCTTGGCGAGGTTGAACACGAAGGACCTCGCCGTCCTAGTCTCGCTAGGATCGTACGAGGAGAGGTGGATGATAGGCTCCGATCCTATAGGCGAGCATTTCGGTGTTTTTTTTTTCTTGTCGTATATCGTGCTGGCGATGGCAGTGGTTAGGGGAGGGCGTTCGTTCCACCAGGCGGCTCGCAAAGGATCTCGGACGAGAGACAAGAGATAAGCGAGATGTCGCGACGAGCTAGCTTGCCGTGAGGATAGTAGATCAGAGCGACAGTTGGTGGTACAAATTATGTTAACCATCCTCCTACTCGGAGACGAAGGCGGAAGAATTGAAGACATGAAGGGGTAATAAATGGTAGTCAGGTGTATCAGCGCTGCTCTCATACCCGACCTCTTACCCAAGTCAAATCATACTTTTATTGTGCTGCTTGCGCGTGACCATGACGAGTCCAAGAGACGATATCATCCGTGTCTCTGTTTAGTAACATAATCGGCCGTGACGGGAACAAGCGACGCAACAGGGCAGCTTCGTCTCTGCACTACCGCTAGCATGCCGAAGTCCCGGCTAGAACTCGTATGCAATGGATCCGTTCTCTCTACACCGTGTCGGTCTGTTTTCTCTATCACGAGACGCGGGCCAGGGAATTGACCGATGTAATTCCACCTTGTAAAGGGCATAAGACCGGCCGATGTGCTTCTAGAATCGATCTGCCAGACATAGATACACTGTTTGCGACAATCGGTCCGGTGAAATTAGTGAATCAAAGCGATCTCCGTCTCGCCTCAGTTGTCGCAACTTGTCGGTGGATGTATCGTCCGACCAGAGGAGCGGTGGTAAACGGAGGGCTCAGCTTGACGAGCACGAAGGGAAGGAGGGAAGGAGGCAAGGAGGTATGGAGCGGAGGGGGCGGGGCTGGGGGGAGGGAGTGAGAGAAACACAGTCGAACGCATGAGCGAGCGAGCTAGACAGAAGGGGCAGGTTGGGAATAAGCACCTTGCTGCCAAGTCCGGCGCGCGCGCGCGCGCGCTGAGGAGAGAGAGACACAGAGAGAGAGAGAGAGAGAGAGAGAGAGAGAGAGAGAGAGAGAGAGAGAGAGAGGGGCGGGTTGGGAATAAGCCCCTTGCGGTCAAGTGAGCGTCACGAGGATGAGATCGTGGAGCTGGGGGTGAAGATGGAGATGGAGGGCAATGAGTATGATTGGGGATTCGCCCACAAGAGGTGTTTCATTTGAGGTTAGTTCCATCTCCTCCGAGCTGAACCAACTCACAGTTGTCAAATACCGTCTCTGAGTCCGGGTTACCAGAAAGACTGAGAATGGGAAAGGAAGAGAAAGGAGCATCAACGAACCGTATGATTGGTTAATGTTTGCTCTTAGCGATTGAATCGAAGGTTCAGTCGTTGTCTCAAGTTAAGCGAGTTAGACCTCGTCCAGTTCGATCTCTTTCGCCAGCGGCTGGGAAGACTCAGACGTTTTTCCCTTTTTTTTTTAATTCTACTTGTTCCTGATGTTCTTCTTTCTCTTCCCCGTGCTGAATCGCTTCCACGCACACGGCTACAGATCTCTGTTTGATCCTCTGTAAACGTCAGTTGCCGGAAGCCATGTTTTATGAACCACGCTTTCGGATCGACCGTTCAAGGAATAGAACCCGCGATCTCGGGCTAAACAGTCAGACTCTAAACCACCGCAACCGTGCCGTAAGCCATGTTGGACGCCAGTTCAATACGGCCAACTCTCTCGCCCCTTCGTTTTCCAGGGGATACCTATATATAGCTGAACTACAGCCTGAGCACTCTGCAGTATAGTATCAGGTGAGGAAAGTCGGCATACTATTTATAAGCGAGAGGTTAGCAAGTGGCATTCAACTGTCAGGTGAGAATGGGAGATATCGCCCCTTTGACTCGTTTTGATGAATCTATTTATTCCCTCCCACATGCTGCATAACTCGAAAGGGTGCCGACGAAGTCGTCACTATTTATGGATATGGGTAACTTACAGGCGGCAATGAATTGCCGTGCTCATCATTTGTTGACAGGGGTTCCTCTGTAAATCTTTTTCTTTTGTTATCTTAATTAATTTTTAAAAGGGGGTAGCCCCTTACATTACTGTATTCAAAGTGATCAGCTCAGGACTCGAACTCATTGAGCCTTCACCGTCATATATTGGTGCCAATCAGCCAGCAGGGCTGGGAAGGTATGTAAATCTTTTCTTATTCGCTGAATTGTACACCCTTCTGCCACACGATCCTTGTCTTCCTTTTTTTTGAGATCCTTGTTTAGGCCCTTGCTGTTGCTTCCCTACGTCCATCGGGGAAAGATGGACGATATTTTTATACAGTTTTCCTTTGACACACGGACGTGTCGGGGCTCAAGTTGTTTTTTTTTCGTTTCAACCCTCATCCCTAATGGTTTTGACAGTTGTCCGGACCTTGCGAAGTTCGATGGGGATAGTGTGCCAAAAAAAAAAAAAAAAAGAGAAAAAAGTAAATTGTCGGGGGGGTTCTGCGCAACGACTCTACAATGACCCAACTGTGTCTCTCAGATCTGTTTGCTATACGTGTCGAAGGATTTTGTGTCGACAGGATACCTCACGTGCCTTTTGCTAAAAATTGTGCTTTGATGTATCTGCTTGTGCGAGGTTGCTACAGACAAAAGTCGACCTGGAATATTAAACAAGGCATTTAAGCGGCTTAAAATCCTCTTTTTGATGTATCTGCTTGTGCGAGGTTGGTACAGACAAAGTTCGATCTGCCATATTATTTAAGGGATATATGCGGCTCAAAATTGCTAAATGATGTGTCTGCTTGTGCGAGGTTGGTACAGACAAAATTCGACCAGTCATATTGATTACGGGATTTATGTGGACCTTGCGCGTCAATGATAAGCTGTTTTATTGTAATTTTGTGAGTCGTGCTGTATGAACTAGTCCAGACACCGATTTTCCCTTTCACAGTTAGACAGAGAATTCTGGGTTAGGCCCCGTCAGTATCAATAAGCAGAAACCCTACCGTCTTCACCCGAATAGAACGCCCAGTCATTATAGCTGTATATGGGGCAACTTTCAGTCCAAAAACAGCGATAATGACCTGGCGTACTATTCGGGTGAAGACGGTAGCAGCGGGTTAAGAGCAGGGTCGGTTCCACATGGCAAGATTACGAGATTGCCCTCGATGTTGCTGAAAAGTAGCAATATGCCCCTCCCGCCCTCACCGTTCCCCTCCCCACCCTCTGACGATAACGGAAGTTGTCAATCATATGAGTTCCAGCACTTCCGCTTGTACCAGTGCTTATAGCAGGGACTGGGCCCGAGTAAACGCGAACATGGAAATGAGTATAGAGTGCTGGCGCAGAGCAATTCTGTAATGTTAGTGACTCGGTGGCAAACAAGAGGCGTTTTATCCTAAGGACAAAGGGAGACAGAACGAAGAGTGAACCGTCAGATCAACGGCACCACTCTGGATGGGCCATCCAGAATCCTTCATGGTAAGACGGTAAGACCGCTATTAACGTGCCCCTTCTACTGTTTCTACGTCACTGTGGTGCTTGAGAAGGAATGCGTTGTTTATGTGGGGTGGCCGACCCCTGTTTCAAATGTGGAATGAATGCGTTGTTTTGTTAAAAACAAAAGATATCATAGCTCAGACAGAAAATAGCCTCTGTTTTTCCCCTTCCCCCTTCCCCCGCGCCCCCCTCCCCTTCCTTCTTGTAGATCTGTTTACATGGGCGGGTTTATTACTCCTTTGACCAGGTGAGTTAGGATCAAGGGGAAGCCATTTGGACAAACGAAAATTCAATTGGACAATCATCAAACCGAATTGGTCAGTTCGATTTTCCTATTTAGTACATGACCGGAACCATTTTGGACAGCCGATATAGGTTGGGAGAAGTGATGAGCATTTTGGACATATCAGATTAAGGTTGGGAGAAACTATGAGCATTTTTAACAAACTGGATATAGGTTGGGATAATTGATGACCATTTTGGACACAATGATTTAACAGTCTGGACGCATGACAGAGTTAGGCAGATTGATTTAACAAATTAGTATTACCAAAACCACATTTAGTTCAACAGTCAACCGATTTCAGATTCTGTGCACACCATAGGGACCAACAAAGATATCTATTTAGTGAAGCGATTTTGCATGTTAGCCACATGCGTATGAATCACGGGCCTGCTGCTCCCGTAAACTGTCGACCTAGAACTTCGACCAACAAAGATTAGCTTTGCCGAAGTTTCGTGTCACCTCTCTAATCCATCCTTGGCACATCCACCTAGGCGAGGCAGGTACAACCGCATTGACGATGTTCAGAGGCGAAAGATCATCGAGAGTGCATGCACGTGGGTTCTCTTGTGCAATCATCGAACCCATGGGCCTTGTCCAATCAGATCATCGAACCCACGGGCACGTGAACGCACAAGGCACGTGAACGCACAAGGCCCGTGAACAGCCATTTCGTCAAAAAAGACATATTATATTTTTTAAACGAAATTGAAATTGAGTTTTTGGGCCAAAATCCGGTCCAAATTTTTTGCTCCTGGGGATCCGGCATTCCCAGAACGCCGGACCCCCTAGATGTATCTGGTCTCTGCTTGAGGTCAGATACATCTAGGGGGTCCGGGGGGTCCGGCGTTCCAGGAACGCTGGACCCCCCGGAGCCAATAATTTGGACCGGATTTCGGCCCGAAAACTCAATTTCAATTTCGTTCAAAAAATATAATATGTCCGTTTTGGCGAAATTGCCGTTCGTGGGTCGATGCTCGGCGGAAGTAAATGCACGTTGATGGATGCACGCAGCACACGTGAGAGTGCATGCACGTGGGAAGCGGTACCTAGGTGGATGTGCGCAGGACACACGTGAGCGACGCACAATTTTCTGTGGGGCCCATCAATTTATGCGCTCGTCAGTCTAAATCATTCGTTCCTTTGACGAAGGGCACAGTGGGTCTGTCCAAGTTTTTAGAATACCTGTCCATATCGGTTCACAAGATGTCCTATTCTGAACTACCGGTCCAAGAAGCTTCTACAAGAATCTAAAACGCTCGGACTACATGGCGGATTCCAATCTACCGGTCCCAGAAGCTTCTACGAAATTCCAAATCCGTTCGC